GGTGGACTTCAACTCCCAGAATTCCCCCGCCAGCATGGGAGTTGAAGTCCACCCATCTTAAAGTCGCTGAGGTTGAGAAACACTAAGCTAGATCACTGTAACTGGGTGTGGAGACATCACCAGGTGGTGACCTCTAATTATTGTTGAAGAACTCCAACCCCCATCATCCTTGATCAGGTTCCCATGGGCTGATGGGGGCTTGGATGCAACACTGGCCCTCTTCTCCTAGTATAGAGAGAAGATCTTTTTCAAATTTCTTCTTCCCTGACCACGCTCAGAGAGACGTCTTCTTCATTCAATGTCTTTGGTTTCCACCAAATAGGGCAATAGCCACGGGTCCAGATATGTCTGTCTATATTTTTCAGTTTTTAAGGGCTAAGGAACCCAGGGCATGTTTTGAGGATGGGTCTGGAGGGTTTTGTAGTCTCCCAGCTTGGATTCCTGATAGGTTATGCCACTCACCTAGTCCTACAGCTCTCCCAGCTCTTTCAACAGGATCCCTTGTTGGTTTGGCTGCCATAACTTCACTCAACAAGGGTGAACGATTCTTGGCCCTTCCGCTTTCAGGGATGGGTCTGACTCATTTTCTCCTCCTCTCAGGAGCTGCGTGAGGCTCGGGAACAGCTGCGGGATGTGGTGGAGGAGAAGGAGGGGCAGGGCAAGATCCTGCGCCTCCGGGAGAATGAGATCGTTGCCCTGAAGGAGAAGCTGGAAGATGAGGCCGCTGGCCGTAGCCAGGAAGTTGAGGAACTAAGCTTGCGGTTTCAAGAAAAGATGCAGAAGTTCCAGAAGGATTACGAGGAGGCATTCAAGGTAAGGAGGCGCAGAGAAAGTGGACCCAACTTCTCCAAACTGGCTCAACGTCTGGCTTGATGGTTCACTGCGATGGGAGACCTGATGGTCGCCTTCGTCCCTTCCTCCGGTAGGCCAAGGCTGCCTTGGAGGGTGAGAAGGAGGCCACTGACCAGACGCGGAGACTGGTGGAGTCCACCCTGAGGGAAACCCAGGAAGAGAATGACGACCTCCGGCGCAAGATCTTGGGCCTGGAGACCCAGCTGAAGGAATACCGCCATTTTGCTGATAGTTGGCAAGACATGGAGGCCAGGCTGAAGGAGAAGATTATCAAGTTGGAGGTACTGGAAGGAGAAGCGATGCTCTGTCGTTTCTGGGTCAACATCTTGGTTTCCTTCTGTTTTAGTCATCCTCATCCCATCTCTAGGGAACCGGGGCTGAGATCAGAGGTAGAGGTTTCCAGAGCCTTGCCCTTGACGTGACAGTGGCCATCTTGTTTAGCTAGCCCCAACCCTTGGCTTCTGAAACGTGCCTGCTTTGCACCTTGTGCTAAGCTCTGACTTACTTAACCCTGGTTGGCTGAAAAAAACACACACACCCAACTCATAAAACCCGGTTTGTTGGGCTCGTGCTCATGCAGAGGTAGAACCATACCAACTACTGAAGCTAGCCAGCGTAACTCCAAGGGCCAGGTGCTAAACAACCCGTCCGTTTATAGTTCTGATTTTCCTGAATCATCTGGCTGGCCGCGGTTAGTCTGAAACCTCCATGCTCAAGAGTAGTCTACCACCAAATACCAAGGCAAGGGGAACGTAACTGCTGCATCTAGTTGACCTCTGGGGGAACAAAGCACAAGGCTGCTCTTACGTGGCCCACGTCGGGTGAGGTCTCTTGCCACGATGACCTCCACATCCAGTTTGAAGGCTCCATACGTTCCCTGGAGCAGAAAAGGGGCCTCCTGTTGGCCGATCTCTTGGGCCGTGCCTCAGTTTCCCCTTTCTCGTTTCCCCTCCTGCTCCCAGGCCGACCGCAAGCAGATGGAAGAGTCCGTGAGCAACGCTGCCGACCAGGAGCAGGACCTGCTGCTGGCTAAACGTTCCCTGGAGGGCCGACTGGAGGAGGCCCAGCGCAATTTCAGCAAACTCACCCTGGAGCACCAGGACTTGAGCGCCTCTTACCAAGAGGAGCTGAAGCAGAAGGAGGTCCTCAGGAGAGCCAAGAACGACCTGGAAGAGGAGAAGAGGCTGCTGGATCGAAGCGTCGCGAAGCTGACAAAGGAGGTTGGCCGTGCTGGGGGGCATTGCTCCACATTGGTTCCCCTTTTCTTAACTCGGCAGGCTCGAAAACCACGGGTCGGTCTTCTGATTGCCGTCCAAGGTGGACTCTCCCCTGAACGGCCACCTTGTAGGGACGGGTGGAAAATAGGCGTCCCGCCCTGTGATGTCCACCTTGGACCGTTGTCTCTCCCCCAAGGGGCTTCCCAAATCCAGAAGGTCACGGAAGGGCAGGGCGAAAGTCAGACCAACCCTGGGTTTCCTCTCCTTTTGCAGCTGAAGCAGATGGCGGACGAATCACACCAGGCCCTCTCGGACCTGCAGTCCCAGCTGGAGGACTACAAGGAGAAATCGCGCAAGGAGATCAGCGATTCCCAGAAGCATGCCAAGGACCGCAACGTGGAAGTGGAGAAGATGCAGCACCAGATGGGGAGATTACAGGATGAGGTATGCAGGAAAGGTCTTTTGTTGTTGTTTTTAATTTATCTGTTTCTTCTTTTCCAGCGGAAGGCCAGCCCGCTTGATTTAAAAATATTTGTCAGAGTTCCAGCTTTCCCAGAGCTGTTTTCAGGACTTGCTGCTCTCCACCCTAAGTACAAAGAAATATCGAGAGGCCTTGACCAGAAAACAAATACCCCTTTGTACAGCTGTACGAACCTCCCATTAGAAACAAAAACTAAATATCAGAAAGGAGAAATGGCCCTCCTGTTAAAGACACAACGGGAGCAAAGGCTGTGGGACGCAAACCGGCCTTTCAGGATTTCCCCAAAGCTTTGGGGGAGTGGCCCCACACCTCCTCCTCTTCTCTTCCGCACCATTTAACTGAGCGGAAGAACTCGCAGCTTTGTCTGGCTTTGGAAGGGAGGGAAGAATCCACGAGGACTAGAATCTCCTAAGAGTTTGGGTGGTTTGGAAAAAGAAGGGGGGAAAAAAAGCAAGCCGATTTTGCCCAGCTAGAAATAGCAGACGAGTCTGTGTGAAGTTCGTGGTTGATGGCGTGGTTTGCTTCCCGCGGCTCCTTGCACTGCGAGAGCCAGGGTGCCCAGGCCACTACAAGTCTCTCGGCCAGGGCCACCCTGAGAGTCGTCCTCCCCCACCTTGGGAAGATAAACCAGGTGGGGGGAGACGACCCCCCAGAATTTGCGAGTCGCTGTTCCCGGAGGCTCACTTCATCCGTCCTCCTCTTCCTCTCCAAGGTGCTGCGTCTCAAGCAGGCACTGCAGGACAGCCAGGCTGAGCGCGAGAGCGCCATCCTGGACAAGGAGCTCCTGGCGCAGCGTCTCCACAACTTGGATCAGGAGATGGAGTCCAAACGGCGGTCTCAGGATGATCGGTCCCGGCAGGTCAAAGCACTGGAGGTACGTGTGGTCTCTGAATGGGTTCCTGGACGATATTGGAAAACGGCTGCGGCACCACCGATCCCCAATGGCATCATCCCTCCGGCGCTCAGGAGCACCGTTTCCTAATTACCCCGCGTTGCTCTTTCAGATCCAGCCTCAGGGCTGCCCCCTGGCACGAAGAGGCCCAGGGGCATGTATGGAGGGCGAACCCCCCATGACCTCCACGGTAGCCACGAGAAAAACAGTTCTCTGCTCAAAAGCCGGGCAGTTGCCATTTGAATTTCCCACGATGCCATAGGGTGGCCCCGCGTCAGGGGCTTTGTGGGAAATTAAGATGGGTGGTGATGGGTGGGCTGGATTGGGGAGGAAGATGATGCAGCCCTAGTACTCCACCTCCATAAGAGATTACTCACCAGCAGAGGGCAGCATCTGCCTTCAAACTAACATCATTTATTAAATTCTACCCCCGTCTTTGCAGCGCACGATTATGACCCCAATTAATTTGGTGTGCATTTCCTCCCCAGAGAAAAAAGATGCTAGAGACAACCCATTTTTCTCCCCCCAACATTTTTCTAGCAGCAGTTTCTTCCGTGTTAAGCAAGGCAGCGGGTTCCAAAGCAGAATATTTTTTTTTTATTTACTGAGCCACTGGGTTAAAACCAACATAAGGCACTGACTTTTTTCCTCTTCTTTTTTAAGCATTGGGTGCTTAAAACCGAAGGGCACCAGCACCCTTGTTAAGCACACCCCTCTGTTTGCAGGATAAATCCAAACGTCTGGAAGTGGAGCTGGACGAGGAACGCAACGCGGTGGAGCTTTTGACCGAGAGGATCAACCGATCCAGAGATCAGGTGAGCCGCGTTTGGCATTTGAAGAGACCGCAAATCTTTGTGAATAGGAGGTGGGGGCCAAGAGACTCCCAGGGGGATGCAAAATGTGGAATCCCATTGAGTTTTTTAGATAGATAGATAGATAGATAGATAGATAGATAGATAGATAGATAGATAGGAGAGAGAGAGAGAGAGAGAGAGATGAAAGAGATGAAAGAGATGAAAGAAAGAG